GATCCACAGAAAGGTATTAAAAAAGAAAGTTGATATATAATCTTTCCTCTAAAAAGATTAATCGCTCATTAGATTTGTTCTGAAAGTTTCAACCAAAATGAACATGTCTTTTGAAATATGTTGAATTTTCAAATGTACTTTATTACCGTATTCCTTTTGTGATAGATGATACCATTTGAAAAATTGATATATCGAAAAAGATACGTTTCTGTGGGCTAAAACTTTCACAGCAATATTCTTTTGGAAAAATCGGACTTAAACGATCATCACTCATCAACTTTGAACATAAATCGTGCTTTAGAATTTTCTTAGTTTCTATAAAAATTAGTCTTACTGAGAGAAATTGAAAACCGCTAGTCATCAGTATATGCTATCAGATGATATTGGCCAATGTTTATTGCAACAAAGTATATATGAGTTATCATTTACTGAGAATTTTCGAAGTGAAACTGATGAAAAATTCAGTATCGACTCAATATCCTTATCTTACTTCTAAGATCACGTTTCTATCGAAAAATGCCACATATGAGAGTTATGTTAGGAGTCCAATGTGATCAAGTTTTGTTGTCACAGTCCCTCTTTCTAGTTTATCGTTAGTCGCAATCTCTTTTCTTGAACGACAATTATTGTGACAAAAGTTAGATAAAGTAAAAAACAAATAAAAATGAGGAGACTAATAATCAAGAAGAAGCATACTAATGCTCTTAGTTTATTTTAATTTATTCAATAAAATAATCACATATATGTGTCTTTTCGTGTAACTATTCATAACAAAGTATGAACTTTTATTATAATTGTGTCGCAGAAGAAACTGGTATCCAGGAAACTAAGATTTAACTGAAAGAAATTAAAATTTCACTTCATCCTCGATCTCAATTCTAATTTGTCTTCGAAAAATTTTCAAAATTTTCAGTATTCTAATTTTTTTTGTCATTATTATTTTGATTCCGAAAACCTAATGTAGTTAACACAAACACAGGACATGTGATTATCTTAGTACAAATAACTAACCGTGATCATGACAACTGTGAGGTACGTTGAATATTAGTCATGTTGACGAAAATAAGTCGATTTTTTAAAATCAATTTAGTTCCTATAGTTCAATGAACTCAATCTCATCAAGAGAATATCAAAATAAAGATATTCAATAAAAGAAGCACTTTCTTATGTAGAACTTGTTTGCATTTTCTAAGATGAATTCCATGTATATAGAACATGTATAGTTATCAAAAGGTGTATTTTAAAAGATCAGACTGCATTTTATATTGAGATGAAATACATTAATCAAATACTCTCTTTTATGTTATTTCAATTATGTCCTTCTTTTTCAGAAACTTCATCTAATATTTTTATTCCTATTTTATTTAGTTGAAACTGATCTTCAATTTGATATGTTAAAAGAAATGTTATCGACAATGCATCGACTAAAATATTTGACATTAATATTGACCAAGTCATTGACAACGGATAATAATATATTGAGTGGAATTCAATGGAAATCATTTCTAAGAACATTGCTCATTTTCTTAAAAAGATTTAATTTTAAATTTTCTATTCAAACAACATCCGAACAAGACATTTATTATCTTTTGAATACATTTAAATCAAAATGGTGGATAACAGAAAAACGATGTTTTGTCGAATATGATACTCATGAAAATACTCTCATTATTCTACCTTATTTTGCTTCAAAAACTTTAGATAATCGTCATTTATATTCATTTGATTTAATTCAAAATTCTAAAATATTTTATTCAAATATCAATTATTTAAGTATTGATTTACATAAGTACAATAAGATCGAACAAATATTAGTGTCTCAACCTGTATCTCGACCACGTTTCAATCATGTGACACACCCTCTTATTGAAGGGATATTTAACAAGAGATGTTTGTGATGCAATTCGAAATAATGTTGATCTGAATATGATTCAACATTTTGAGTTTTCATCAACTGTCAGCACCACTGAAGCTTTTATTGAATTGATTGAAAATATGACTAATCTTTCTTCTATTCATATTCAATACTTCCATAGTCTTGTTCTATTTAATCAAGTTTCATCACCAATTTTTTCTATTCGACATCTTGTTTTATTCGATTATGAACCAACAGCAAGAAAACGACTTTTCTATCGTTTATGTCGAATCTTTCCACGTTTAACCCATTTGACAACACACTATCATTCACGAAGAAGACTTTGTTATTTATTAAATGAACTTGTTCATCTTGAACAACTCATTTTGCGTTTAGCTCAAGATCAATATGCTCCAAATTATTCTTGGATCAAGCAACATAGTCGACTACGAATGAATCCATTTAAAATGAGAGTATTTAATATTGCTTATAGAGAAAGAAAACGGGTTTTGTTGATCAATACCAATAATAATATGAAACATCAACGTCATCGTCAACCTTATACATTAAACAAATGTCGTATTCAATAATTTATTGCAAATTATTTTCATATTGATTTTTGGGGAGAATAATGGAAAATTAACTCTTGAACTTTGTCTAGAAACGCAAAAACAATTAGTTTTTTTGTTCGATTTTAAAACTCGAAATAAATAATCAAGAAATAGTACTTACTAGTTAACTATCAATTAATGATTCACGACCATATGAATTCGAAGAATAAAATGAGCGTTGATTTGATAATAGATATATAGAAAACAGATTCTGATGTTTTAGAATCTACTTCAGTTCTATAAATACTATCTTTTTTTTTTGTTATATTGAATATTTTTACAGCACATATTAATTCTGATTGAAAATGTCTTATTTTTCGTATTTATGAAAAAATAGAAAAACAAGCATCATCTTAAATGAATGAAAATAAAACCGACAAGAACATATTAATAGAAAAATGTTGTTGATATTCTACATGATAGCAAGTCATCTGTTTCAATCAGAGTCCTGCAGGATAAGACAATTTCCCACCCTTACCCTACCCTATAGATTTTGTATCTTACAATCTACCGTGTCATAAGATTTCCAGGTTCTGATAGATAGGAACAGGAAGTTTCTTGTGAGAAAGATTAAATAAGTGTAATTTTATGTACATTCTTTATACATAATGAAATATGTATCAATATCATAAAATAAACTAAAACATATAATAAAGTATATAATATAATCATAATATAACTTTCACATTCCAAGATCCGTCACCCAGAGTTGTAACCGATAACGGTAAACTGGCGGTGTCGTTCGACTCAATAGAGGACGTCTTACCGACCGGTAGAGATAACTTTTTCTGTACCAGTCGGTCTGAATTTTTTAATAGTGTTTGCATGTTCTCTTATCGAAAAACTTAGCATAAAAGTTGTTCTTTCTTACAAATCACAAATTTTTTGCCAATGTCGAAGACTATTTTGGTGATGAAATATGCGTCAGACTGTTGTATTAGGTCAAACTTCGTTATAGTATCCTTATTACATTTTCTTAACTAAGTTTGGTATTATGTCACGTTATTTTTAAAAAAATAGAATAATTATTTTGTCTTTTGTACTTTTATAATCTGTATGCTCCGGCAAATATAAGATGTAGAAAAGCGAGTATAGCGTGGAAGACAGATTAAGTATACAATTAATAAAAATTGCTAATGTCTGAAGACTAATTAGGTAAAGCACAGAACTAATATGAAACTTGTAGTCGTGATATCTTCTGTCCATCAATAGATGCCAGAAAGAGAAAATATAGAAAAATAAATCGTAATAGACACTATAGTTTTGAAGCAGCGCTTTTATACGGTTACTATAGTGGTTCAGAGGAAGATATGGCTAATCCAAGAGGTGATTTGACCGTTTTAGGGTCAGGAAAAAAAGAAGAATAACTCATACGGATATACCGACCGGTTCAGTTCGGTGTGACGATTTAGCACAGTATCGATATCGGTGAGGAAAAACTCCTATCGGTTCCAACTCTATTTTATGAGTACTCCTGTAGTTGATTAATGGCGCAAATACATAACAATGCAAACTATTTCATGAATTCTAATGCATTATTTGCAAACATAATGCATTAAAATTCATGAAATTGGTTGCATTTGAGAGATCGAAACTAAATTGAATAAGTCAGTAATTCGATTCGGCTGAGGCGACTAGAATCGAATGAAGGTTTTATTAT